AGAATGGTAAGGCAGATGCGCTGTCTCGGCGGTATGACACGGAGGAGAGGTCCATGGAGCCCACTCCCATACTGCCGGAGTCGTGTCTGGTGGCACCGGTAGTGTGGGAGGTCGATGCTGAACTCGAGCGGGCGTTACGCACCGACCCTAGTCCACCACAGTGCCCGGAGGGTCGGAAGTACATTCCGCTCGAGGTTCGGGATCGATTGATCTATTGGGCTCACACGTCACCCTCCTCTGGACATCCGGGTATCGGCCGGACAGTGCACTGTCTTAGTGCCAAGTACTGGTGGCCCACGTTGGCAAGGGATGTGAGGGTTTATGTTTCCTCCTGCTCGGTGTGCGCCCAGTGTAAGGCGCCTAGACATCTGCCTAGGGGTAAGTTACTACCCCTGCCCGTGCCACAACGACCATGGTCCCACCTCTCGGTGGATTTCCTTACTGACCTTCCTCCGTCACAGGGGAATACCACTATCCTGGTCGTTGTGGACCGGTTTTCTAAGGCCTGTCGTTTGCTCCCCATGCCGGGCCTTCCTACCGCCCTGCAAACTGCCGAAGCCCTATTCACCCATGTGTTCCGGCACTACGGGGTACCCGAGGATATTGTGTCTGATCGGGGTCCCCAATTTACCTCCAGAGTCTGGAGGGCCTTTATGGAGCGGTTGGGGGTCTCGGTGAGCCTCACCTCGGGTTACCACCCGGAGAGTAATGGGCAGGTGGAACGTGTAAACCAGGATGTGGGACAGGTTTCTTAGAACATACTGCCAGGACCGGCCGGAGGAGTGGGCAAGGTACGTTCCCTGGGCCGAAATGGCCCAGAATTCCCTACGCCATTCCTCCACTAACCTAACCCCTTTCCAATGTGTGTTAGGTTACCAGCCGGTTCTGGCACCCTGGCAGCAGAGCCAGATCGAGGCTCCTGCGGTGGATGAGTGGGCGAGGCGCTCGGAGGAGACATGGAACGCTGCACACGTCCACCTGCAGCGGGCCCTCCGACGTCATAAGGCGAGCGCTGATCTCCACCGCAGTGAGGGACCGGTGTACGCACCTGGTGATCGAGTCCTGGCTCTCTACCAGGAACCTGCCCCTCCGCCTGCCCTGTCGGAAACTGGGTCGGCGGTTTGTAGGGCCATTTAAAGTCCTGGGAAGGTTGAACGAGGTGTGTTATAAATTACAGCTACCTGTTGAATATAAAAGTATTAACCCCTCCTTCCATGTGTCCCTTCTCAGGCCGGTGGTAGCTGGCCCACTCCAAGACAGTGAGATCAGGGAGACTCCTCCGCCCCCATTGGACATCGAGGGGGCACCGGCGTACTCCGTGAGGTCCATCTTGGATTCGAGACGTCGGATGGGGGGTCTCCAGTATCTAGTGGAGTGGGAGGGGTACGGTCCGGAGGAGCGGTGCTGGGTGCCGAGGGGAGACATTTTGGACCCGTCTCTCCTGACGGAATTCCATCGTGAGCACCCGACTCGCCCGGCTCCGCGTCCTCCGGGTCGTCCCCGAGGCCGGAGTCAGCGCACGTCTGGAGCCGCGCGTCAAGGGGGGGGGTACTGTCACGGTTTCGGCCGAGGCTGCCTCTCTCCCTTGTTCGGGCAGGCTTCGGCGTTCGTTGTCTCCGGAGTACTAGCTGCCACCGTTGTATGTTTCATGTTCGTTTGCTTTTGTCTGAGTGTTGTCACACCTGTTTTCAGTTAGTGTCATTAGTGTCCTATTTAGTTCCCGTTGTGTGTGTCAGGTGTTGTGTATTATTGTTTTGTGTCAGACGTGTTTTCGCTCGGTTGAGCTTCTCTCCACTGCGCTGGAGTTTTCGCACATGTTTGTGCGCTGTTTTGTTTCCATTTCGCCTTCGTGCGTATTTCGCCTTCGGGCAAGTGTTGTCCGTTTGCCGTGTTTCGGCTCAATACAAGTTTATTGGATTATCCGTCTGCGTCCTGCATTTGATTCCGCCACTGCACCTACAGCACGCCTTGACAAATATAAAATATATTTAGATTTGTTTAACACTTTTGGGGTTACTACATGATTCCATTAGTGTTATTTCATAGTTTTGATGTCTTAATCCCAGGAGTATATGGTAAAGCACAGAAACTCCATCTATGTGAAGAAAAATGATGAGTACTAGACTATTAGACTACGTTAAGACATTTTGCTAAATGTGAATATTATGATGTTGGTTGTTATGGATTATTTCCACTTGTTTTGGATAATAAACACATTCAATCAAACAGACAGCCGTTTCACAGCCACAAAATCTTTATTTTTACATTTTACATTTACGTCACTTGGCAGATGCTCTTATCCAGAGCAACTTTTTATTTTATTAATCCAATTACTTTTAGGGATTGGCTCCTGCTGAGGCACAAAACACAGCAACTTCAAAACAGTCCCTTCTCCCACAAACCACCAGCAAATCATCTACTTGTTATCCACCAGATGTCTCTTTGAGCAATACTTAAACTGTCAGACTAAATTGGCACAATGAGATGCTTGAGACATCATCAAAAAAAGAGGCACAATAACACTAATGGTGTTTTTGCATGGCCCATTGGAATGCAATGGCCATGCCACAGAATGCTCCTGTACTGATAGGTAGCCGAGAACATGTCCAATGCATGTGTGTTGCCCTTGGATTGAGAGATTTAATCCCAAACCAAATAGCCCATCTGTGTTAGATAAATACTAGGCCTATTCTTTGACTTTCAGGTCTCTGTTGTGTTCTTACCCTTGCGCTACAGGCACTGTTTAAATAGTGTTTCCATAGTAGCCACTCCCAAAAAGAATGAATAATATCAGTGTTATCAGAGTCAGCCGCAGTTCTGTTTGCCTCTTTGTGTGTCCATATCGTACTTAGGTGGGCGTCTGGGGGTGGAGAGAGCGTACAATGAATCACACAGATTCATAAAGATATCACCCGTCGACCAATCAGGTGGTCAGTTGCTTGCCACCTCTCCGTCTACAATAACCACTGCGCTGATTATCACTGAGGAAAGATCACACAAACAGTGGGAAACAAACATCACGTGATAGAATAATCCCATACATAACTCAAGCATGAGTAAACAGGTGTATATTTTACAGGACAGTGGCAATTATACAACACTTCACAGTATGCTGCTTTTTTACAAGTCTGCACAGGGGAATTGCAGGTATGGCATTAGTGAAACAATTCACTTTTCATAAGCCTTTAACTTATGTTTTCACACATCTTAATACAGCTGTGTGAGAGAGTGTGTGTGTGGGAGTGGGGCAGCGGTGGGGGTGGCAGAGAAAATTGATTTATCATGGATCAGATAGCATTGTTCAAGTGAATTAACTAGTTTCTACAATACAGTGCTATTTGTATCATTGAATTCAGTGAAAGGGACCCAAGAGTCAACAATGTAAGTGGAGTGTAATAATATACTGAGGCACTTTATGTGTTGGTCAGTGTGGTTTCACCTAATGCCTTCCTCTCCACTGGGCAAATTGGTTTATGAGGGCTTGTGGCTTTGTGATAACTCTGGTGTAACTGTCTAATAATACATATTTTGTGTGCACCTACAGTACCAGTTTCTTTTTCATGGCTTGGTGTGTGCATGATCTACAGTAGTCTTTTCCCCTGATGAACTAAACTTCTAAAGAGAACATCCACTATTTTTAAATTCTGCGCTCCTTTTGTTGTCCAAGTAAATATCTATGATAAAACAAATACATTTATTACACATTTAGTCATATGAATCACCTAGATGTTAGTGTCCCTGTAAAATATCAGATATTGTAGATACCATCCCTACAGTGTCGTGATTTCAGCCATTCTTATCTTATCCGTCTATATTCTCATATCCTCTGTCTGTTCAACCCCAATGCCTCCAATGTGACTCCCCTGTCATAGCTGCCAGATAGCATTCAAAAGAAAAGGAAAAAGTCGTTCTTAAAATAAACAATCAGTGTATAGGAACTCTCTAGTTCAATAAGGTGGCCTTTCCTTGTCCTTGGATCCTTTCAAATGGCATACTATATAGGCTGAGTTACAGAAACCAGAGGATCAAGTGTTGAACAACAACACAACAACAATCAGCTTTGCGCAACATTGGTATGCCCTCAAGCAAATGAAACACTCTCACCAGATATTCCACCTTGATATTCAGTAATACGAAGCACTGTCACTGGATGCCAAGTTGCCCTTTTCTTACCCCATATACCTGTAGCAGCATTACAAACATAACCACGGCTCATAACACACAAGCAAAAATAAACACCCAAAAAACTACAACCACCATTTGATTTTATGCCAATCAGGGCACCTGTGTTCCTCTTTTGATTGTGCACTCCCCAGTCCTCAACAATCTAAACAAACAAGTGGTACACTCTTAGAAAAGAGGTGCTATCTACAGCCGAAGAACCCTTTGGGCACCCTTTTGGAACCTTTTTTTCTAAGAGTGTAGGGCCATTGTGTTGGCGTGGAATAGAAGCTACACAAGGTGCCTTCTTTTTCTACTGTCCTCTGTTCCTCCAGCTAAGGTGTAGCGAGGTGAATGACTATGATATAAAAGTGACACTACATTCATCTATATAGAATTGATTGTCACATTTTGCAGTAAAAACGTAATACAATTACAATCAGATATGTCAGATAAGTGTGGATAAAGGCACACACATAATGAACATACAGTGATCATGTGGTAAAACTTATAAACACAGATTGAAATTATACAAATATCTTCAGAAACAAACTAGTTCATATATTATATACACCGTTTTACAGGCAGGATCAAGTCATTATAACATAAATTCCATTGGCTTGATGCAGAGTTCAAACGCTCTCAGCCCATTGATCAGAAATTTAGTAATAAATTGTGAAAGGTGCTATGGCCTTGCAGAGTGCTTCTCTTCTCTATATGTGTATAGCTCTGGACATTTAAATAGAGGCGCACTATAGTGTGGCTCTTTCCATAGACATTACATGAATGCTACAAAATGTTAGTGCAAGTTCCCTCAGGTAACAGACAGTTATTTTACATTACAGGTAGCTTATCTCCAGGGAGGTGTTCTTCTCCACTGGCTCCTCTGGCAGTGGTTTGACACTCCCATTTGTGTTTCCATTATGCAGGGATGCTGGAGGCCCCAAGCCTTTCCCACCAATGTCCCCAGCTTTGGCTTTCCTTTCTGGGGATGCCACATGCTCAGATGCCCCTGGGGCTGGCACCTTGGGTGTTAACAGGGCCTGGGAACTCTCAGGATGTCCGTTCCCATTCTGGGCGATCCTACAGATCTCCGTCATCTCTGTGACGTCCTCCCTGTCTTCGTCATCTTCCTCCTCCTCATCTCGTACGACCCTCCTCAGGCTCTCTCGGGGCTTCAGCACCCTCCCCCTCTCCTCCTGCTGCTGCTGGCGCTCTGTCAGGTCGTGGCTCTCCACCTTGCGTGAGGAGCGACACAGGGCCTTGCGGAAGCCCCGCTTAAAGTTTTCCGAAAGGAAGCCATAGACGATGGGGTTGGCGCAGCTGTTGGCGTAGCCCATTACCACAACAAAGTAGTAGAGGCCCTGGTACTCTGATGGCAGAGACACCAGCAGGTTGAGGATGTTGAGGGCGTAGAAGGGCAACCAGCAGAAGACGAACACGGCCACCACGATCACCACCATGCGCGTCACCTTGCGCTCTGACTTCCTGCGCTTGGTGGATGTGGCGTGGACCTTCTTGCCAGAGCTGCGGATCTTGAAGACGATGAGCAGGTAGCAGAGGCAGATGATGAGGAGCGGGCAGAAGAAGCCCACTGTGGACGTGTAGATGATAAAAGCCGCCCGCCAAATGTCGGCCGGCCGAGGCCAGGAGATATTGCAGGTGCCACCCGTCTTGTGGACGTTGGCGAAGATTACCACAGGCAGGACCACCAGGAAGGAGATGGCCCACACTGTGCCGTTGACCATCTTGGCCACCTGGGGCCGCCGCCACTTGGAGGAGCATATGGGATGGACCACTGCCAGGTAGCGGTCGATGCTCATGACGGTCAGGCAGAAGATGGAGGTGAACTGGTTGATGGAGTCCACGGTCATGACCAGGCGGCACATGAAGGAGCCAAAGGGCCAAAACTGGAGGGTGTTCTGGACAGCCAGGAAGGGCAGGCCCAGCATGAAGAGCTCATCAGCGATGGCCAGGTTCAGGATGTAGATGTTAGTCACAGACTCCGTCTTGGAGTAGTGCAGCACAATGTGGATGACCAGGCTGTTGCCGCCCAGGCCGATGACGCAGACGATGATGTAGATGAGTGGGATGAGGACCCCTGCTACACTGGGACCTGATGACATCTCTGGGCTGGTTGTGTTGGTGGAGTTGGTGCAGTTGAAGAGGGTGTCGTTGAGGAGGGTGTCATTGAGGATGGTGTCATTGCATAGTAGCAGAGAAAGGGGAAGGTTGGGGTAAAGGCTGGGGACTGTGCTGTTCTCCCACATGTCCTCTGCCATCTCTGAGGGGGCAGTGAGCAGACGTCCAGGCAGGAGAGATGGAGGACCAGGGGGATGTCTGTCTGTCTCTCTCAGATCCCACCCATCTGTCCTGTGGAGAGACCAGAAAGACTTATTAAGCTGAGGAGATCTTTCATATCTCATCCTTTATCGAGAAGCATCTGTAGCTCAAAGGAGAGAAGGAGAGACACAAATTAAAAGGGACCTTAAAAGGGATGTGCCAGACAGCGTCTTTATGTCTGTTATACCTCTTTCAGGGCCAAGGCACAATAGCAGCCAGACAATACGTGATTGAGGGTTTTTCAAACGGCTTTAATTCAGGTGAAAGCCTTGTTTGGTAAATGAGGTACATGAGAGAATAAGACGTCAGTGTCTGGCTGTGTGAAAAGCTGCTGTTGAAACACGTCTCAAGACAAATTAAGAGTTGGGGAAAACAAAGAGAGTTTAAGATTAAACAAAACAGGGAGAACAAAAAAGAGCAGGTGGCAGAGGTTAAATTAAATGATAAGAATAAAATGATGAAAAAGGACACCCAAATGTCACTAGGTACGCAGCCCGGCATGAGTCAGACAGGAAACAATTAAGGCCAGACGAGGAAAGAGGGCATGGGGAGAAATTGACCAGGCCGCAACACCTGTGTTTGGCTTCTCTTTGTGGCTATTGACCCCTCAGACAAATTAAACAGAGTGTGTTCCCACACACAGCCACTGCTGGAGCTAATCATTTACATTTTATTAGTAACTAGGCACTCTGGGGCGGCACAGACCACTGTGTGCAGCTCTTCTGCCAACACATACCTTGTCATCGGTGTGTATGTATGTGTGTGAATGTAAATATGGAGTGTGTGTATGTGTGCACAGTTTGTGTGAGAGGAGAGAAGGCTCAGGTAAACTCAAAGGCTTTGGAGGGCCCTTTTCGTATGTGGCTGTGGAGTCGCAATGCCACGCTGGGTAAACATCCACTGCTGATGACGTGTAGGGGTTCTGGAACAAATTAACACCTGGCTTTCTCTCTCTATCCATCTCCCACCATCGTACTGTGTAGATCCCATGAAAACACAGACAGGAATGTCTTAATGTCTTTATGCTAAGAATCTGTAACAGCAATGTATATCGTTTTAAATCACTTGCAAAAATGTGACCTGTTTTTTTTATTAAAGAGGAGATTATGTATTGTCCTGGGTCAAGAAGGTCATCCTTTGTCCCTTGTGTCATAGGTACCATCATCACGAGAGAGGTATTTGTTCAGCAATGGATGTTCTGAACTACAAAATGGACACATACACATGAATTCTAGGGACTTCAAACTGGGCAAAAACTGGTTGAATCAAGGTTGTTTCCATGTCATTTAAAAATATAAAATGTGATAACGTGAATCAACATGGAAAACTGATTGGATTTGCAAAAAGTTATCAACATAAGGGAATTTTGTCTTTTTTTCACCCAACTTTTAACCTAAACCCAATGTCATGGTGCAATTTTTTGTTGATTTCACGTTGAATTCACGTTAGTTGACAAGTCAACCAAATAAATCTAAAATAGTTTTTGAACAGACATCTGTACCAAATGGGTTAGAACATGTCATATCTATCACCACAGTTAAATGTAATCCCATATTGCATATTATCATGGTTTTAAAATCTACTAGTTTCTGTCCCATGAAATATGCATAATACTATTTTTGGAAATGTAATTTAATGTTTTCTCAGTTCACTAAAAGGTTCTCATCACTTCAAAATCTGGCTGCTGAAGTGAGGTAGATTCAAAGCAGACTGAAGCTCAGGTTCTGATCTGAGGGAGCTACATGAAGAAAGACCAACTGTGAAAGTGTATAGGCAAAGGAACGTGAAAGATGAACAGATGTTTTAGGGGTTGAAGAGAAATATTATACAGTATATACACTGAGTGTACAAAACATTATGAACACCTTTCCATGACAGACTGACCAGGTGAATCCAGGTGAAAGCTATGATCGCTTATTGATGTCACTTGTTAAATCTACTTCAATCAGTGTAGATGAAGGGGGGGAGACAGGTTAAAGAAGGATTTTTAAGCCTTGAGACAATTGAGACGTTTATTGTATATGTGTGCCATTCAGACGGTGGTAGTAGGCGCAGCGGGTGGTGTCAAGAACTGCAACGCTGCTGGGTTTTTTCACGCTCAACAGTTTTCTGTATGTATCAAGAATGGCCCACCACCCAAAGGACATCCAGCCAACTTAACACAACAGTGGGAATCATTGGAGTCAACATGGGCCAATATCCCTGTGGAACGCTTTCGACACCTTGTAGAGTCCATGCCCCGATGAATTAAGGCTGTTCGGAGGGCAAAAGGTGTTTTGTACACTCAGTGTATATTTCTTAAATTTTTCATTTTGACTAGGAGCATTTTCCTCCATCGCACAATTTCTATATTCTAAATTGTTTGATTATTTTCACGCTAGGTACATACATTTACCATCCTCCAACATTGGTGCTGTTCCCCAAGCTGCATAGACACCAGGGAGAAGGAATGCATTGGGATTGCTGACATAAATCAAACAGAACCAAATAAAGGGCACACATGACAGGATAACAAGATCACGCTTTTTATCACTCTGAAGTCTTCAGCTCCACATGGAGAAGAGAGGGAAGCCACTGCATTTCTCTTTATCCTTAGGTTATGAACATAACATTGTCACTAATGCCAGGATTTCCTTCAGTTATTAACATATTGTTAGTGGAATGGTCCATGCACGATGGAACAGTTTTTCTCTGAAGGCTCTCTCTTATCTCCAGCATTTCTCTTCTCTGCACTGAGCAGCTCAGGACCTGTGGGGCAGCCTTAAAAAAAAAAGACTATTACATTTACAAATTGGGGTTCTGAGCTGGTCAGGGTACCATGGGGAAGGCAGGCATGAATGCAGAACACACATGCATTTTAATCAATGTCCTTCTCTTTTACTGCCACTCGGGAGCCATTTGTCCAGTGAACAAATATTTCTGAATGAGCCTGGCCAGTCAGTGCGGCAGTGCGGAGCTACTTTGGGAAAAGAGACGCAAAAGCTAAGTGACTACTCCAGACCCGCATCCACGTAATCAGCCTTCTAAGCCAGATCAATTATGTTCCATAGCTGGGAAGAACAGAAGACACATGCCTCTTAGAGATGATCAATAATGCACATGCACATACACAGTTTATTAGGTACACCCATCTAGTACTGGGTAGGACCCCCTTTGCCTCCAGAATAGCCTGAATTATTCGGGGCATGGAAACAATTCTCAATTGGTATTGAGGGACCTAACGTGTGCCAGGAAAACATTCCCCATACCACACCACCGCCACCAGCATGTACCGTTGACACCAGGCAGGATGAGGCCATGGACTCAAATCCTGGGATTCGTCGGAACAGGCGATGTTTTTCCACTCCTCAATGATCCAGTGTTTGTGTTCGTGTGCCCACTGGACACGACGATCATACCACGCTGAAAGTTGCTTAGGTCACTTGTTTTTCGCATTCTAACGTTCAGTCGAACAGCAACTGAATGCCTCGATGCCTGTCTGCATGCTTTCTATAGCAAGCCACGGCCACATGACTCACTGTCTGTAGGAGCTAACCATTTTAGTGAATGGGGTGGTGTACCTAATAAACTGGCAACTGAGTGTATATTTTTGTATGTTTCCGGAGGCGCTTTCATTTTACTGTCATGAGGATATATTGCTATGGCAAGGTTATTGAGGGACAGGGAGTGCTCTCATTTTCTTGGGCATGATACAAATGGGACGACAATAACAACAACAAAAAACAGCAATCCAATGTTGTTTGCCACCTGCCACCCGGTCCTACTCTTGGCTTCGTCATGCTCTTTGATACCGGTGTTACAGCCTTTGATGCCAGTTTATTTTGATGCTCTTCGATTTTGTCGAGGGCCTTGACTCAATGCTGAGCACTCTCTGTCATTTCTCCTCTTTGCCCATCTGAGATAATGGATACAACATGAAGTTCATAGAGATGAAGGTCCCTTAATTAATCATTTATAAACAGTTTGTAAAGAGTTTACTTACCATTTATTAATCATTGTTCCTACATTTGTAAATGTCAATAAGCAATCTCTAAATAGTTATTTAATGATTATTTGATCATTAATAAGGTGTTTGATCATAGTATGTTCACAATTTGTAAATTATGAATAATGTACTACTAATGTACTTATCAACCAGTTATAAAGGAGTTATTGTCAACTCATAATATTATTTATAAGGCATTTGTTAATGGCTGACTAATGGTTTGATATTTATAAACGTATTTATATATAGTGCCTTCAGAAAGTATTCACACCGCTTGACTTTTTCCACATTTTGTTGTGTTACAGCCTGGATTTAAAAAGGATTAAATTAAGATTTATTTTCACTGGCCTACACACAATACCCCATAATGTCAAAGTGGAATTATTTTGACAAATGATTTACAAATTAAAAGCTGAAATGTCTTGAGTCTAAATGTATTCAACCCCTTTGTTATGGCAAGCCTAAAGAAGTTCAGGAGTAAACATGTGCTTAATAAGTTGCATGGACTCACTCTGTGTACAATAATAGTGTTTAACATGATTTTTGAATGACTACCTCATCTCTGTACCCCACACATACAATTATATTTAAGGTCCAGTAGCGGTGGGTGGGTAAAATCACTGGGGAAGCCAGAAAAAAAAGCCATATTACAACCTATGTGTTGTGAAAATTGCGTTGTTTGCTCTTTAACCTGTTAGTTAATAAAGTATGCCTTGCGGCCGTGATATATAGACCTAAGGCCTAGACAATAAAAAGACACAGTGGCAGAATAAATTCAACCACATCTTTGTTTCATCACAAAACCGGAGAGCAACCTCTGTCCGGTGAAGTCCACAAAGCATATTGTATGTATAACTATTCAGTCCAATCAACGTAACCTAAATATGATGTGGCTGTCCATGGTTCTGATTTATGTGTGTGTGTTGACTCACCCTACTTGTAGAGAAACACCAATGCCATCCTCCTCTCTTTAATGTTCACAAAACATATATGTCCTAGGCTACCTGGCTAAAATGCTTGCTCGCTAGCCTAACTTCCTTTCATGGACAATGTTAGCTAGTTAACATTAACCTTCTACATCTAGCTACATATTGAACTTCCATCCTCTCTGGCTGGGGGCACAATGTATGAATTTATGGTTGGATCAGAATCGCCGTTATAATCATTGGCCAGTATGGAGTTAAACCACAAGTCCAAATCCTTATCTCCATCCATGGCTAATTTAGGAATGGGCCAATTTTAGCTAGCTAGTTAGCCACCGGAGGACAACAACACAACAAGACGCAACAATTCAAGTTGTTTCTGTTAATGACGTATTGCTCTCGATGTGATGTGAATGGAGTGAAGCCAAATCCAAATTGGCTTCCATTGACACTTTGTTTTGGTGCGCCAGGACCATTCACGGTTGCGCTCACTCAGTTTAGCTCAACACTGATTGGCTATTATTTTCTACGTTTTTTTTATCAAGGGAGGCCAAATTCTGGCTTCCTTTGCATTCAACGCTACGGGCGGCAACAATGTCATACACTGTTTGACCAGACAGCATCAGATAGATGGCCTACACATACAGAGACAGAGGGGCGCTGTTTTGCTCGCTCGGATGCTTTCTCCGGTGAGACACATTCAGCCTCTTGCGAATTGAAGGAAAATTATGAAACACAGAGAGACGAAAGATACATTATTTTACATGTTTTTTTCTTGGTACATTTTTTGGGGAAGCCACTGGTAAGGTCCCTAAGTCGAGCAGTGAATTTCGAACACAGATTCCACCACAAAGACCAGGGAGGTTTTCCAATGCCTCACAAAGAAGGGCACCTATTGGTAGATGGGTAGAAAAAAAGCAGACATTGAATATCCCTTTGAAGTTATTAATTACACTTTGGATAGTGTATCAATGCACCCAGTCACTTCCTAACTCAGTTGCCGGGGAGGAAGGAAACCGCTCAGTGATTTCACCATGAGGCCAATGGTGACTTTAAAACAGTTACAAAGAAAACTGAGGATGGATCAACAACATTGTAGTTACTCCACAATACTAACCTAATTGACAGAGTGAAAAGAAGGAAGCCTGTACAGAATAAAAAATATTACAAAACATGCATCCTGTTTGCAACAAGGCACTAAAGTAATACTGCAAAACATGTGGCAAAGCAATTAACTTTTTGTACAAAGTGTTACGTTTGGGGCAAATCCAATACAACACATTACTGAGTACCATCTCCATATTTTCAAGCATAGTGGTGGCTGCACCATGTTATGGGTATGCTTGTAATTGTTAAGGACTGGGGAGTTTTTAAGGATAAAAAAGAAACAGAATGGAGCTAAGCACAGGTAAAATCCTAGAGGCTTTCCACCAGACACTGAGAGATTAATTCACCTTTCAGCATGACAATAACCTATAACAAAAGGCCAAATCTACACTGGAGTTGCTTACCAAGAAGACAGTGAATGTTCCTGAGTTACAGTTTTGACTTAAATCTACTTGAAAATCTATGGCAATACCTGAAAATGGTTGTCTGGCAATGATCAACAACCAATTTGACAGAGCTTGAAGAATTTTGAAAAGAATAATGGGGAAAATGTTGCACAATCCAGGAGTGGAAAGCTCTTAGAGACTTACCCAGAAAGACTCACAGCTGTAAATGCTGCCAAAGCTGGTTCTATAAAGTACTGACTCAGGGGTGTGAATACTTATGTAAATGAGATATTTCTGTTTTTCATTTTCAAAAAATTTGCTAACATTTCTAAAAACATGTTTTCACTTTGTTATTAAATCAAATCAAATCAAATCAAATCACATTTTATTGGCCACATGCGCCGAATACAACAGGTGCAGACATTACAGTGAAATGCTTACTTACAGCCCTTAACCAACAGTGCATTTATTTTAAATAAAAAAGTAAAATAAAACAACAACAAAAAAGTGTTGAGAAAAAAAGAGCAGAAGTAAAATAAAATAACAGTAGGGAGGCTATATATACAGGGGGGTACCGGTGCAGAGTCAATGTGCGGGGGCACCGGCTAGTTGAGGTAGTTGAAGTAATATGTACATGTGGGTAGAGTTAAAGTGACTATGCATAAATAATTAACAGAGTAGCAGCAGCGTAAAAAGATGGGGTGGGGGGGGGGGGGGGGCAGTGCAAATAGTCCGGGTAGCCATGATTAGCTGTTCAGGAGTCTTATGGATTGGGGGTAGAAGCTGTTGAGAAGCCTTTTGGACCTAGACTTGGCACTCCGGTACCGCTTGCCATGCGGTAGCAGAGAGAACAGTCTATGACTAGGGTGGCTGGAGTCTTTGACAATTTTGAGGGCCTTCCTCTGACACCGCCTGGTATAGAGGTCCTGGATGGCAGGAAGCTTGGCCTCAGTGATGTACTGGGCCGTACGCACTACCCTCTGTAGTGCCTTGCGGTCGGAGGCCAAGCAGTTGCCATACCAGGCGGTGATGCAACCAGTCAGGATGCTCTCGATGGTGCAGCTGTAGAATTCTTTGAGGATCTGAGGACCCATGTCGAATCTTTTCAGTCTCCTGAGGGGGAATAGGCTTTGTCGTGCCCTCTTCACGACTGTCTTGGTGTGTTTGGACCATGATAGTTTGTTGGTGATGTGGACACCAAGGAACTTGAAGCTCTCAACCTGTTCCACTACAGCCCCGTCGATGAGAATGGGGGCGTGCTCAGTCCTCTTTTTTTTCCTGTAGTCCACAATCATCTCCTTTGTCTTGGTCACGTTGAGGGAGAGGTTGTTATCCTGGCACCACATGGCCAGGTCTCTGACCTCCTCCCTATAGGCTGTCTCATCGTTGTCGGTGATCAGGCCTACCACTGTTGTGTCGTCGGCAAACTTAATGATGGTGTTGGAGTCGTGCCTGGCCATGCAGTCATGGGTGAACAGGGAGTACAGGAGGGGACTGAGCACGCACCCCTGAGGGGCCCCCATGTTGAGGATCAGTGTGGCAGATGTGTTGTTACCTACCCTTACCACCTGGGGGCGGCCCGTCAGGAAGTCCAGGATCCAGTTGCAGAGGGAGGTGTTTAGTCCCACGATCCTTAGCTTAGTGATGAGCTTAGAGGGCACTATGGTGTTGAATGCTGAGCTGTAGTCAATGAATAGCATTCTCACGTAGGTGTTCCTCTTGTCCAGGTGGGAAAGGGCATTGTGGAGTGCAATAGAGATTGCATCATCTGTGGATCTGTTGGGGCGGTATGCAAATTGGAGTGGGTCTAGGGTTTCTGAGATAATGGTTTTGATGTGAGCCATGACCAGCCTTTCAAAGCACTTCATGGCTACAGACGTCAGTGCTACGGGTCGGTAGTCATTTAGGCAGGTTATCTTAGTGTCCTTGGGCACAGGGACTATGGTGGTCTGCTTGAAACATGTTGGTATTACAGACTCAGTCAGGGACATGTTGAAAATGTCAGTGAAGACACTTGCCAGTTGGTCAGCACATGCTCGGAGTACACGTCCTGGTAATCCGTCTGGCCCTGCGGCCTTGTGAATGTTGACCTGCTTAAAAGTCTTACTCACATCGGCTACGGAGAGCGGGATCACATAGTCATCCGGAACAGCTGGTGCTCTCATGCATGCTTCAGTGTTGCTTGCCTCGAAGCGAGCATAGAAGTGGTTTAGCTCGTCTGGTAGGCTTGTGTCACTGGGAAGCTCGCGGCTGTGCTTCCCTTTGTAGTCTGTAATAGTTTTCAAGCCCTGCCACATCCGACGAGCGTCAGAGCCGGTGTAGTACGATTCAATCTTAGTCCTGTATTGACTCTTTGCCTGTTTGATGGTTCGTCGGAG